TCAATGCCAGACACAGTCATAAGTAGTTAAAAAAAACACTGTGTCTTTTCTTCACAACTTTCTTACCATGTTTATTTTAAAGATTGAAAAATGAAACTCACAGAGTATAAATAACTTGTCAAAAGTCTTTGTAACAGCGAGGCAGGCATCAAAGTCACAATTCAACTGTGGATCTTGATATTATAGTGTATGATCTTACTCTCCATGCTATTCAGACTTGATTGTTAGTATCCTGTATCTTTTTAAGATAATTATTTTACAAATTATGCAAAGGTACTATGTTTTCTTGCTTCACACAGTTGTAATTAAGGAGATGAACTTCTTTTGTTTTTGTATATGCTGTCCTTGGTGTATTAGGAAGTGTTCCTGTCTGGTCTCAAGATGGCTAGGGAATCTTCAATTAATCATCTCTTCCTCACATAATAACACTACAAATAGAAAATAAAATCAGGATCATACAACATCTACCTCATAGGATAATGGTGAATATTAAATGAATCAAATACTTAGAACAATGCCTGGCAAATAGAACGTGCTGAGTATTTTTTTTTAAATAAAGATTTATTTATTTGTGAAAACAAGAGCTGGGGTGCAGAATCAGCCCCCTGGCTGGGGATCAGACTCATGCTGCAGTGACTGCAGAAAAGCTTCATAGTGCTGCGACTTAACCCATTGCACCATTGGGGAGGCCCCCGAAAAAACTCTCTTCTAAAGTGATTTTAGGGCCTCCCCAGGTGGCGCAGCAGTTGAGCGCTGGGCTGAGAAGCTGCCCGCAGCCTCTGCACATGTTTCAGCCTCTGCAGTGCTGGTTCTATCCCCTGCCTACAGCGAGGGTCCCACATGGCCTGCAGACCTCTCCTGCCACGCCCGCTGCTCCCCTCAGCAGTGTGTCAGTCTGCCTGTTCTGTTCCCACTCTAGCTCTGATGAATTCTCTCACCCTCCCACACTTCTGCTGTACCCAGTGCTTGTATAAATAAATAAATAAATCTTAAAAAAAAAATAAAGTGGTTTTAAGCTTATTATAATATAAATGGAAGTAGCAATACCTTGTTAGTCCAGCCTATAATGTCAAATACTCTATTTGTCTGCACTCTTGAAATTTTTCAAATCATAAAGTTAAAATTAACTTGACTGGTTTGACCACTCAATGCTCTATTTTCATTCGGTCAGGTTTCCAGTGCAAATTATTCTTCATAAAAGAGAATTATTTTCATTATATTCTAAATTGTTAGTGTCATACATATCTCTGAATGAAAAGGATTATTCTTCACATGTTTTTTAAAATTCAAATGTATATAATTTGTTTGAAAGAAATTAAGTACAATTGAGCAGAAAAGTTAAATGCCAATTGTTCTATTTTTAAAAGACCATAGAAAGATTATAAAAATTATGAATTAAAACAAAAAGAAAATGAGATTCACTGTTATTAACATGTAAAACTCCTTGAAGTATTATCAAAATACAATTTTGTCTATAATAGGGCATTGTCCTGATTACAGAGTGGTAAAAGAATCAAAAACGAATTCCAATTTTGCACAGGAATCGTTGCCTCATTGTTTCACAGATCTTTCCTTGAAAAGTATTTGTTTATATATTTTCCCATAAATGCTCAATCTCATCATTCCATAGGAAGAACTGACCTTTTATTTTCATTGCCAAATATTTACTTATGCTTGCAATTATAAGTTTTCATTTTTTCAGAAATTTGGCAGAAATCATTCTACTCTCAGTATTTTCCTCTATACCAATTCCTTTTCTGTAGGATAAATTCAGGATTCCTTTATCCTATTCTTTTCCAGATTCTTCTTTTCCCATTTAGACTGCTTCTATTTTTCCCGTCCAATATATTGAAAGTACCTATAAAATGTACACATTGTTATTTCTAGTAGTCTTTTTCCTTTTTATGCTCCAATATTTATAGTTTTATTTATTTTTGATGAAATAGCTTGTATTTTAAAAAACTTTATATGGGTGTCAGATGTACATCATTATAATTCAACTTTAACAATTCTACTTTATGATCACAATCTATCTTATCACAACATTATTTACAATAGCTCTAGTATTTCTCCATAACACCTGAACACTGCCTTGTGCAGGTCACACTACATTCTTCTTCAAGGCATAAAGCCATTCTAGTTAGGCCTGGAAAACATATTTCATAAATACTTGCATGCAGTTGTTGAAGTTGTAAATCAACATTTCCCTTTTCTTCAGATTTGGCTAATGGAGATGTAATTTTTCATTTGTTTGAAAGTAAGCTCTTAATTATAAGATTGTTTTGAAGATGAAAAAATACAAAAATGGTATCCACAAAGAGAACCTATTTTACTTGTCCCTTAATATTCCTAAGTAATCAAATGATAAAAGGGAAAGCTGGTCCGGATATTAATAATTTTCATATACAGTGCTCTAAACCAATGTCATCTCAATATAAATAATAATATTCATAATGAGATCAGAAGAAACACCACAGCTAGAACTCTGATTTATCTCACTTAAATGTGTGAGAGGATCTTCTAAAGGAGAGTGTCTTTAGGTCAAAAGGTATTATGCAGTATTCTAAAAAACTCATTATCATCTGTTATTCTGAGCCTATGGTCTTTTACCTTTGGTCGGGACATCAAATGACTTTTGATTTTATGTGGCATGTGATTTTGCTTAAATAAGATTTTTCATACATTCATTATCATTGGAGCTGAAGTGATGAAACGGGGTACTGAAATGAGTTGTCACTTGCTGCAAACAGTTGTTTGTACATAAATAACATAAGATGTTTCTGTTAGCTATAGAGTGAAATATGCCATCATTAATGTGTATCAATGTGAATGTGATGTCTAATACCAGCATTTATTTCAAGATATTCATATTACCTAATTAGCTTGTAATATATAACTACCAAAAATGTGACTAATTCAAATGGTCTGGTACTTAATACTAGATGCAGGTTAATGAAAAGATACTAAGCTGATTTAGTAGCAGTTGTATTTACAAAAGTCAGAACAATTCTGTTTTTAAAAGCATATGCCAGGCCTCCCCAGTGGCGCAGCAGTTGAGCATTGGGTTGCGGAGCTGCCCTCAGCCTCTGCAGTGCCAGTTCGATCCCCGGCTGCCGGCGAGGGTCCCACATGGCACACAGACCTCTCCTGCTGCTCTCTGATCCCCTCAGCAGTGTATTTCGTCCATCTGCCTGTTCTGTTCCCAACTCTGGCTCTGGTGAATCCTCTCACCCTCCTGTGCTTCTGACTGTACCCAGTGCTTGTATAAATAAATAAGTAAATCTTTAAAAAAAATTAAAAAAATAAAGGCATATGCCTCATTTTATTTTACATAAATTTAAAATGAATGAAAAGCTAAAATTCACAGATGTTAATGAGAAATTATTGGTATTCTATATGGTGTTACTTCTTTCATAATGTTCTCTCCACACGTAAGTTTGTAATATTTTTAAAAAGATAAAGACCACTTTGCAAATTTCAGACTTTCCCTTTGGGTAACTCATTAAATATATTTTCTTTTAGTGAAAGGGTCAATTTCTAAAATATGCCTATCCCAGTCTTTGATGCCACAGAACTTTGGTTATTATAAAATATTGTAAATCAAAAGCTAACATTGACTCCACTCAACCTCCCATGTGAAATATCAACATAGGAAAAAAAAAAAAGACCATTATCTATGTTCCTTACCATGGAAACTTCAGTGAGAATTGTGATTTGTGGCATTTCTAGCTTGACTATAATTACGTAAGGTCAAAATGCAAGACTCACTCATAGGGTGTAAAAGTTAAAGTGTCTAAGAATGTCACCTGAAAACTACAATGTTATTTTCATATGGATGATGACTATTATGATTATGCCAGTCATTTCTCATGATAATGGACAAAGATAGGATAAAAGAGAATTATTACGATTATACCTCATAGGATATCAGAAAACAGAAAATTGAAAACCAGATTCAGAGTATGATTATTATTTTCTTTTTCAGCATAATTACTAGGAGAAATATGCTCAATTACTAGTTAATAATAAAATATTTGTTTTTTTTTTAATTTGTTTTTGGGGGCATGTAACACTGATTTATACCACTGTATATGGTTTAGAGGTGTAGGATCACATCTTCAGGTATATGTTACCAAACCACACCTACCACCAAGGCACCAGTGTGTCCCCCTCCCCACTTTGCTCTGCCTCCTCTTCTTCTGGTAACCTCAATTCTAAAGTGAGATATCTAGAACTTGTTATTGGTTTGGCTTATCTGATCCCTTTTGTTTGTTTAATTCTCTACATTTCACATATCAGTGACACTATCCACTATTTTGCCTTTCTCCTGATTTATTTCTCATAGCATAATCCCCTACAGTACCATCCATGTTGTTGCAAATGGCAAGATTTTATCATACTCTTTTAAGGACAAGGAAGTGACTGTACTGAAACAACAGTTTTCATTAAAGGTAGCTGACAGAATTTCTCTTAATTGTTATTTGGTTGGTGAACTTGATTTTCCTCCTTCTGCTCCCCAAATAAATTATTTTTAGAGTCAATTTTTTTCCCAGCTTTATGATATATTTCACCCATTCAGCTATGCTAGTGTTCTCTGAAGCCAGCCAACAATGATCTCATCTCACCTACGTATAAATCTATCAGTGGATAAACAACATCATTTTTATTTCCATGTCGATGACATACTACATGTTGATTTGGCAGTTAAATAATTTATCTCTCTTTTGGGTGCAATCTGCCAGGCTTATTATAACTCTACTTCTGATATTCATTTCATGTTTAATAGTTCTTTGCCTCATGAGGATGCTTGTCAATCAATTAAATTGAAATGTCATTCTGACCTTTTATTGGAAACCGTTGACTCTTTTTTTTCATTTCATCACAAGCTTTTTTCCATTTTATTCAAATTAAGTCTTAATGACTAGTATTCAGAAACTTTATACTTATTAACCTTACAAAACTACACACTCATTAACATTACTGATACTTTGTCTTTACAGAGGTTATCCAGTTGAGTTTGCCTGAAGATCAGAAACTCAGCATTACAGCAGCAACTGTGGGACAAAGTGCAGTTCTGAGCTGTGCCATTCAGGGATCCCTGAGACCCCCCATCATCTGGAAAAGAAACAATATTATTCTAAATAATTTAGATTTGGAAGACATCAATGTGAGTACATAAATAAATGTTGCTTTATAATTTGTACATTTCACCTGATATATCTAAACTTTGTGAAATACAAAGAGCTTAAATATAGATGTAGAGTGGAATAAAATTACTGGAACAATGTTCTGTCCCTTCTACTGTCCAAGAGGCACACGGTGGAACATTTAAGATTAGTCAATTTACTTGTAGATGTGTGGTAAGGAGGTTATGATTGGAGTGATCATACCAATCGAAACTACAAAGTTCTAATCGTCAGAATTTCAATAAGTATCAAAAGTTAATCTGCATGTATTTGCTATTATGGTTGAACAGCAACCTGTAACTCCTGACATGTTAAGGTGTGTAAAAGCAGTTTTGCTTCAAGCACAATGTGTCAGGGGTGATAAATAGCAATGAAACAAATAAACATATCATTTTTCTGGAATGAAGGAACATGTTCTCCATTCAGGTTCATTCCTAGAGACTCCAGAATCAAAACTCAATTCAAGTGCATAAAACTCCGTAAGTGAAACAAAGAAAGAACAATTCTATTTCTATGTTTAGTTCTATTTATAATTTTAACTTTTCAAAGAATCCTGTTAATTCTTTCTTAATTGTAGCAATTTATTCCACCAAAAATGTGCAAGTCTCCTTCTTTGCACAGTTTCTTGCCTTTTGGATAAGGCCATTATCACAAGTGTGAGGTGATAGCTCATTGCTTTATTAATTTGTACTCCCCTAATAAGAGAAGATGAATATCTTTTTATGTGTTCATCTATATGTCTTCTTTGAAGAGGTATCTATTCAAATCCCATGCCCATTTCTAATCAGGTTGTTTGGTTCTTTGGTTGTTGAGTTTTATGATTTCTTTGTATATTTTGATATTAAACCCTTGTCAGACTTATGAAGCACAGATGTCTTCTCCCTTTCAGTAGCTTGTCTTTTTGTTTTGATGCATATTTCTTTTATTGTGTAGAATCTTTAAGTTTGATAAAGTCTCATTTGTTTTGTTTTTCTTTTATTTGCTTTTGAATTCAAATTTAATTGGGTGTCATATTTTATTTGTTAAGCCTGGCACTATGCATGAAATTCAAATTGGTTTGAATATTGCATTATTACATTTTCTTGCAAATGATTCTGTAGTTTATAATCACTGAGATTAAATGTTTGAACTGTTAAAAGTTCATGTGAATTCTATCCATTGACTTTGTAGATTCACATTACTTTCTCATTTTTGAGTATTGGTTTTCTGGTATTTGTTTTCTACATTTATCTAGCCTGTTAGTAATTATGTCATTAACTGAATATAAATTAGAAAAAAATAGTATAAGAAATGGACATGAGTTTAATCTTTCATAAAATATACTGTACATAACACAACTGGTATGATTCTCCATGAAACATCTAGAACTCATTCATCTTTTTCTTTTCTGGCATCCAAGAGCAAGGTTATCTCAGAGTTCAGGGAACTATTGGAGCTCCAATTACTAATCTATTTCATCGATTTGTAATCCAGGTCTATGCATTAAAAGAGAAAAAAAAAAAAAAAAGAGGTGAAAGATAAATGCCACTGAATCCTTGAATTCCTGCAACTGTTTATTGGTAAATGATGTGTAATGACAGCAATAACTATACTAGGGGAACTGGTAAATATAATTATTTTGTTAGGCATACTGTTTAGTTTGCTCTTAGAAATTAGGAACAGAAGAACTAGCTACCACAGAATCATCTAAGATGATATAAGATGTACTACTTTATAGTTCTGTTTTTTTTTCTGCATTGATGAAATAATATTAATAATCAGAATTCAAATCTGAGCAACTTTCCCTGCCATGTTTATCCCTTTGCTAGCGATTCTAGCTTTTGTTTTATTTATTTTATTGTTTTGATTTGCTCATAGACCTTTCCTTAATTATTCTACTTCTTTTTTATTCAGTGCGATGGTTTTCCTTCTTGTAATTCTTAAGATAGTTCTATCCCTGCAGAGCCCTAAAGTGATTTTTACCATGGGCAATTGGTCTCCATTTAATATGAAACACTCTATTAAAAGTAGACAAAAAGCAACTGAAATTATCATTTGATACAAATCAGGATACTATTGCAATTGTGGAAGTTTGCCATATTACTAGATTCTTTTAAGTTCTAGATTTTTAGTGCATATTTGGCAAGATTAATTCTGAGAGATAGCATGTTAAAGAAAAAATAATAAAATTTCCTTGTATATCTGGATTTTTAAAGGCATTTGATATGTATATATATCATACCTATTGTAGAATGTTATACCTAATTCTGATAAAAAATGTTTTAGAATATGCACTATACTTCAAATTTAGATGTGAAATATTCAAGTCATACCAGTTTCTAGAGACAGAAGGAATGAATTTTACTACAAGTGAATTCTGACTCGGTTGCTTCCTTTTAATATTTAAAGCATTGTGAAAATAGAACTTCTTTTCTCAAACATCTGAATTTTCAATATTTTACATCTGTGAGAGGGGCATATTTAACCTTTCAGATATTTTACTAACACATCATAAATAGTCTATCACCAATGAAAATAATTAGCAAGATTTTATTTATCCTTTTATAGACTTGTTATCTATTGATATGTAACATATTAGACTATACCATTAAAAACTAGTCATTTAAAAAGAAACCTATTGATTTTTTACTCCTGTGGATTATAAGCAATCTATTTCCTTTCCCCCAAAACTGAAATGTGGGCATTAATGTTTTAAATACATCAATCACCATGTAATTTTTATTACTAATTCATTTTTAATATATGCCTGAGGCCATTGTGACTCTTAAAACCTAAGTGTCATCAGAGAATATTTATGATTCAGAATCTTCCTAGCCAAACAAATCAGAGAACATTTGGTAAGGCCATAGAATTGAGTGTTGTCTTCAAATACAAAAAATGCCACTTGTATTCGTTTTTCTCACATAAAGGGTTATACAGTGACACTATTAGTTAAGTTCGTGAAACTGCATATGATCATAAATATTGCCTAAGAGTGTATTACTTTAAAATGAATATTATTGGGGCCTCCCCTGGTGGTGCAGTGGTTGAGCACTGGGCTATGAAGCTGCCCACAACCTCCGCAGCGCCGGTTTGATCCCTGGCCGCCGGCGAGGGTCCCACATGGTGCACAGACCTCTCCTGCCGCCCGCTGCTCCCCTAAGCAGTGTATTTCGTCAGTCTGCCTGTTCTTTTCCCCACTCTGGCTCTGGTGAATTCTCTTACCCTTCCGCGTTTCTGCTTGTACCCAGTACTTGTATAAATAAATAAATAAATCTTAAAAAAATAAAATAAAATAAAATGAAGATTATTCCCAAATTACTTTATTCTGCTGACATGAGATAGCATTGCAGATTACAATTCCTTCTCAAAAAAGTGTTAAAATCAGTAATTTAGAAATATTTTACTGGTGGAGGCCTATGAGTTCATAGGTGGTGTTGTGATGTGTTAAGATGAATTTAAAGGGGTTTGAACCTATACTTTTGATTTATATACAGTGTTGAATACTAATATTACTTGAATTAAATGATTTTTGATTTTTTTTATTTTATATATATTTCTCATCATTCATTTTTGTACAATGTGGGCTTTCTCCTCTCAGGTATAGTCCCTGTGAGATTCCCACCACCCATTCACCCCTGTCCTTTTATCATAGTCCCTTGTGCTCTTCTCCAACCCCGTTTTGAAGTTTTGATCCTTCTCCCTCCCCCCTCCCCTACAGGTTTATAGTTGCCTGTTGATTTTGATTTTTAATTTTTTATAATTACTTTTTTTTTCCAAAAAGATAAACTCATGCCATTCACAGCAACGTGGATGGAGCTGGTAGGGATTATGCTCAGTGAAATAATCCAGAAAGAAAAGGAAAATAATTGGATGGTTTCACTTATAGGAGGAATGTAGATGAAGCAAATAAGGGATGGGGGTAATTATAATAAATTAAAATTCAAAATTAAAAGATATTTTAATTTATTTAGTTGTATTTCTTGGAATTCATTCTCTACATATAACAAAATATAAAAAAGGGTGTCTCCTTGTATGAAAGAGTGGAAGAAATAGCCACATACCTATCTGATGAACACTAGGTTATTGTTTTTTTATTTTTGCATTTTATATTCAGTAATAAGCATTATGAAACCATGTCACTGAAATAAGTTTATGAAATATAATAATATGGAAACATGTCACTAAGTTATTATATATTTTCTATAATAATTTTGGCTAAGTAAATATATAGATTCTTAAATACAAAGTGTGTTTTTTAATTTGTTTTCATTATTATTTCTCTGCACCCATAACCATAATTACTATATTTAAGCTGATGCACTCCAACTTTTACTTCTACTTGAAGTTTCTCTTCTGAGTTCCATTTTTTTCATTTGAATGTGAAAAATTCAAAGAGATACCTTTATTCCCAAACCTATAACATTTGCAGTTTCCTATTCCATGCAAACAGCCAGAAATCTGAGTCCGGCTGGAACATTCCTATTTTTTTCCTTCAAAACTAATGACACAAAACAGTGTGCATTTAACTTTTAAAAATGAATCTTGCATCTGTTCTTTACCTTGTTTTCTCTATTACTGCCTTAGCTGAAGTTCTTACCATTTTTCTATCTTCACATTTTCACCATTGCCTACTGAGACTGTCCATTCTCTTTAAACCCAAACATCACATAACAGCCTGAGAGAATGTCATGAAGTTTTTATTATAACATCTCTCACTCTAATCTTCAAAGTCTTCAACTACTTCTTGTAGCTTTTAGTAAAAAAAAAAAAAAAAAAAAAAAAAAAAATTAAAATTCTTTAATGGATCTAGAAAACCGATTTCTCCCTAGTTCTTCCTGCTATTAGCCATAGTCACTAAAAACTCTCCAAAACACTGACTGTTCTCTGTCTATCTTATACTATTACCACCACTCTTGAACACATTCTCTCTGCTGGAAAACATTCTCTTACCTCCTTCATCCAACTAAATTCATTGTGTTCTTAAAAAATAGACTAATGT